TTTATTCAGCTTCAAAATGATTTTCCCGAAGACATTGACGTCGAAAATGCGTTGATGACAGCTGGGTTAAAGGGTAGAACTGAGGGTTTTACACATAAGTATGACTCAATGTCATCTAAAACAGTGATTGAAAAACAATTGATCATTAGATTTTTGGCGGATAATAAGATATGCCTGAAGCTAAATAGACTGAGTTTGTTCGCTCGATTGAAAATTGGGTTCACTGTGTGCATCAAAATCACAGTCAAATATTTTTCTTTTGCCAATACCTCGTTCTCGTTAAAATTGTAATACGTGACGCCTCTCATAACATTTTTTTTTCAGATTTCTATGGACTGAACAATTTTGTGAAGATTATTTGTCTTAATAATGCCATCTGTTGTATTTTTCCGGCGGAACTAATCTATGCTATCACTACCCCATAAACAACGTTTCGCCCGAACAAATTCCGACAACACCACTGTTTTCTATGTAAGGTGAGTTTGATTTACCTTTTGATGATAGGATGTATTTTTCTTTTGCTTTTTTCACTTTTATCTTTTTCTTCTTATTTGAGGTCATTGCCTGAAATTTTGAGCTGGAAACATTTTATAAATTTAACAACATTGAACAGTTTTTGTGATTGTTTTTCAAAAATGTACTTGCTGTTTTTCTCAAGTTTTTTTCAAGAAATGAGCTTAATACCAGAAAAAAATCAATAAATCACTAAGATAACTAGCCTAAGGCAACTGAAAACCTGATTTTAAACCCTTCTCCATAAACTGTCTGCCAATAGTTCTTCGATTAAGAAGGTTCCCTCTCTTTTTTCTGAGATTTTTGCACAGACTTTGGTCCATGTTCAATATACACTTTAAAAAAGCAAGAATGATTGTCATTTAAAAACGTCGACTTCTGCTGTTTTGAATTACTGAGCTACCCATATCTTTTTAAAATTGAACATTTCTGCTGATGGTTACGTTTGTGCTTGTATTTACTTTAAGCATGCTTTCTGGTCTTTTTTTTGTTTACATATTCTACAACTAAGCGCTAGAAAACTCATTGGTATACATAACATTATTCTGTGCTAGTTAGATGGCTAAAACGTGAATATAAAGTTTTAATCCGTGCAAAAAACAAAGTTTTTGTGCAAACCATATTTATATGACAATTCGTCTTTTAGCCTTTTTACAGAGTCGTTAAGAAATTACTGATACACGAATAGACGATTTTTTCAACAATATGTACGCATACTTTCTTGATTTGTCCAGCTGCATTATTCTTTGTGTTTAATTGCTGCCTAGAAAACTTCATGTTTTCAGATTGAATACGGGTAAGTTTTGAAAACAATTTGAATAATTTTGCTTTTTAATCTGCAGCCTGATGTCTATTGAATTTTTTTCGAGAGTTAATGTTTCCAAAGTTTTCTTTCATGGGCGAAAAAAAAGATAATTTGCTCTTCATTTAATTTATCATTTAAATATTTTAAATTGCATTTGTGATATGGATTTTATTGTTGAATTTCGCTTTTTAAAATATATCATTAAACTATTAGGGATTACATTTTCGTGCGGTAAAGTTTTGTGGTCAGCATTGAACTTGCGAGATTTCCAGTTTTTTGGGTATTTGATTTTTTTCTTTTTTAAAATATACATCAAAAGGCCCAAAAGTGTTTTTCAGTAGTTTGGCGCATAAAGTCAAGGGAAAACCCAATATCTAAAACTCAGCAAAATGTTTACTCAGGAAACATTTGAGTCAGCTGGTGCCTCATTTTAACATGCGTTTATTCACGGAAGGAAGATCCGACCTATTTTTTGTTCATCTCTGATTCGAAAAACAGAATATTTGAAATTCGGAGATGAAACCAGCTGAAAATTTTTCAATTTTCCTTAATAATTTTGCGGTCCAGTGGAAGCGGACTTGAGTATTCCGGAAAACAGCCTTACCAGAAATTTAGATTAGAAGTTCGAACCGTTTACGTTTTATTGCCATTCATGGATAAATTCCCGGCAAAAACAATCCTCAAATTCAACTAACACTGAAAGAAAAGTTATCGAAACTACAATATATCCAACTTGTTCGATATTAGTAAAAAAATCTGAGATGTTTTGAAGGAGCCTTTTGGTTGAGAGCCTGGTTTTGTTTATTCCCGAACTTTTGGCAAAAATTGTGTTTTGAAAAAAAGTTCATCAGCCAATTCGAAATTTTTTTAGACTTTGAAAAGACTTCATGATCAGGAAGAAAAATATTTTCTGAATTTTTTTCAATCACTTTTCTTCAATTTTCTCGTTCTATCAATTCTGATGCGGCTTTTAATTTTGTACCAGCTTGAATTATTCTGAATCAGTAATTTGTTGTTAAGTTTTCATCAAACAATGCTAGCAGTGGCGTGTGCAGAAGACTTTCTAGGGGCAGGGGGGAGGGTTGTGGTCGACCTTTTTTATGAAAATTTTGTCTAACTTTGTTTTTGTGTCGTTCAATTTGATTTTCAGAACTTCTGTCAAACGTTTTCTGTGCCCCTATCTAGTTTTTGAAAAGCTGTCTAAAAATGACGTTTCAAGCAAATTACAAAAAAAATTGTCAAAAAAATTTCGGTCTTCAAATTTTGTTCGGTCCTCAAATTTTCGATGTCGGCCAGGGATGTGAGACCCTTTGGAAAAGTTTAGCAAAACATTGATGGGGAGAATCGCCTCCTCCTGCTCCCTCGACACACCGATGAATGCTAGACGTCCTGCACTGGATTTTTGTTGATAAACAGCAATTAAATTTAGAAAAGAAACGTGTGTTCTTGCAAAGTACAGTAAAAAAAATTGATAGAAAAGTGCTTCACTTTCAATCGAATCTAGTCTTTATCTAGTTAAATACTTTTGTAATTTTTACTTTGCTGATATTTCGCTACTATGATGCAAATGAGAAAGTGCTCTGAATCAAACTAAAAAAAAACATGACTTCTGAAAACTTGTGCCCCTGGCTTGTACGTTTACATTGCCCTTTCACCTTCACTCACCCGTCCAAGGGTAAAGTGAGGACATACTAAATAAGGCTTGACAATCAGGTCCTTCTTTCTGCGTGCACCGCTTTGAACCCATACCTCCAACCCGGCATATTACCCCGCTAAACTATTCACCAGTCGCAAATGGGCAATTGAATAGGTGAGGGGCGTTGCTTGAACATGATTGAACATCGGATACTGATAACTTGGTTGAAAAAGAGCTAGCGAGAGGGTGTTGGGTTTGATGTGTGTTGTGGACTGAGTTTGGTGGCGGAGGTTTGCGCGCGGGAGGAAGGGGGCTATGGGGACAGGGGAAGTTTGTAAGTAGGAGCGGAACTTAAAACTCATGTTTACAGGGTTGAAAAGGCTCGTTCAGGTTCTAGATGTGTAGTAAAAGTATAGTAATCATTCCAAATCCAATATATATATATATATATATATATATATATATATATATATATATATATATATATTTTATATTATGATTGAAATTATGAGTCATTGAATAAAAGTAGATCATAATTGGTTGAAATGGATTTTAAAAATTTACTGTAGATTTTTGAAAATTGAAAATAATCAAATACAATCTTTCATAACAGCAACTATCGTGGATAAATGGGGCACTCAACTCGATTAAATAAGTAACTATTTGTCTATTTATTACCATAAAATTGTTTTTTTTTTCTATGAAACTTTAGTGCGGTTGCATCTTTTCCGAGTCATTTATCATTATATTTTTTGAAAAAAAAAAACAATTTTAAGCCTAAATAATTTGTTTGCTGCTGTTTTATAGAGACACGAGTCAACGTTGCTTCGTTAATACTAAAATAGATCCATGGGGACAGCAGAACTGGCAATAATTTAGTCAAAAAAGATTTTGTGGTAATTTAAGCGGGTGTAAACATATGGCAAAGTTAAAAGTAGGCAAAAGCATGAATAACTCAGTTTTAGCTGTCTTCTTTAAAAAAATTATTTATTTAATTGCCCTTGTATTGAAATAGTAAAAAAAGAGGTTCTTTTTGCTTTTCCCCCACCTGCAAAACTTAGCTAGCAAAATTTTGTTCGCACTGTCTGTCCGATTGTTACAAAAAAATTGCATCGCGACTTATTACGCAATGACAAACATATTTGATTTTGATGTTTAACCTTGTAAAATTCCCACTATACAATAACATTGATGATTATATGAGGTTGGGAAAAATGAATATAGCTAAAACAGTATTTCTCGGCCGCTCATATCAAAACAAAGTACTTTGTTTGCTTATTTTTATTAAAATAATAGGTAACTTGGAATACGTAACACATATATGATTCCACGAGGACTGGAGAAAATCGAAAACTTATGCTAGAGGGACGGTTGATCACGAAAAATGAATGGAGAAGTCAAATAGGTCGTTCTTTTTTTTCTTAGATTAAAACGCAAGTAGTTTGATGATCGGCTTGATTTCTCAGAGATACTTTCATAGATTGGCTTGATTTCATTTCAAAAAGCGGCCGTGATTGTTCTAATGATAATCATTCAGGGCAAACAGACATTGAGAGGAGTAAGAACTGAGCTGATTCGTATCCGTAGTTCTGCAGTTTCTCCATTTTCTCTCCTGAGCTGTTTTCACTCATATGCTGAAAATTTTCTATCCTCTAGTTGTATTTAAATCAATTTTTCTTTGCAGGTCAATCTGATTCTTTTTTTAAACCACAAGTTTGGACACGAATGATTTTAATGGCCTGTTTTCAGCATATGAATAAAATCAAATCAGAAATAAGAGGTGTATTAGCAAACTTTATATCCAAAAAATAATGAAAACATGACCATAAAGATCAAACGCAGATTCATTTTTACATTCATTTTTTTTGAGTGGCCAAACTCTCTATATTAAAAATGTTCAAGCGGTCGACTTTTGTATCAGAAAGCTCGAATTTTTCTTATTCTTTTGATTTGTTCTGTAACTTACCACACATATTTAGCTAACTTATAGCACGAATAAATTCTTTACTATTTTTACCACAATGTAATGTAATGTTTTTACACGTAATATACTATCTGAAGAAAATTATAGTAGACTTGAGCGCTTATAACGAGTTAACGTACAAATGTTTTGACTCTGTAAAAATTAAAACACAGGCAGAACTTGAAAAGAAAAACTTGGCACAAACTTGATCAAAAACTTACCAAATTGCTAACATTACCACCATTACTGATAGCTTCTCGGTTGACTAACTCAATGCATCAAACTTTCTTTTTGTGTCTTTTCATCAGCAAAATTCATTAATTTGACGACAATGAATTTTATATACAAGTAACAAGTAATAAAATGTTGAACAAATCTATTGGTTGTATTAATTTGGGCACTTATAACGAGCTGATCACGTGCAAAAGTTTTCGTGCTGAAGAAATTATAACATAAGCAGAAGCTTGAATAGTCAAGCTTGGCTAACGCTTTATCAAAAACTTACCAAACAGCCAAAACTGCCAATTAATTTTCAAATCTTTGCGGTTGATTTTATTACAAAGCATTAAACTCTCATTTTGTCTCAAATTATCAGCAGAATTTTTCCAAGTTGTTTTCCTTAATTTCCCCGAGAACTCAAATTTCTGAAATTTGCTGTAGAGAAAAATTAAATTGCAGTTTCTTTAAATATTTCTTGTTACTAGAAGAAAAAGACTGAACCTCCTATTTCTAAAAGCTAGCTTCAAAATCCAGAAAGGTATTGTTATCATATCCTACTCAAAATTTTGAAAAGTATGAAAAATCAGCCACACTTATTTTTATCCTCAATTTTGATTTGGTAGTAAATTTTGCAAAAAAAAAACGAAAATATTTGTTGATTTCTCTCTAGGTCAGTTATAATATGTTTTCATCAGGTCAATTTTTAGTGCTATGACATTAAAAAAATTTTGCTGTATGAAAGATTAATGTTTTTGCTGTCACTTTAATACGAACATGTCAAAGTTTGACCCTTACCTGTCTGAACAAAAAACGACGACCTGAACAAAAAAATTTTATCGGGTTTTTATCTGAAATGAGATAGAAGATCTTCGAGAAATTTATGTTCACTGTTTTTTTTCAGTGCGGTGTTTCTGAGCTAATCAAATTCACAGTCATCAATCTTACCCGAGTCGAGATTTTATCAAACCAAAAGTTTTAATCTTTGAAAAAGTTTAGGTATCTGAACGATTTTTAAACCGTGTTTTTAGTGAGCACGAGATTTCTTTGGTAAATTTGTTGAATATTTAATCTTGAATGTTAATTTTTTCCTGCAACAATCATTTTTTTTTAATATTATTTTTAACACACGTGATCAAAGTTTTGCCGAATTTAAATGCCTTGGTGGGTTTGACTTGACCCCTCTGAGAAATTTTTTAAAAACCTACAAGACGATCGGGTTGGCTGAATGAGTTTTTGAATTGTTTGGGAGAAAAATCTCGAACCGGGTATAGTTTCAGTCACAAAATGGCCTCGTCTTCATCTTCCAAGACGAATGACTTCATTTCCAATCAATATAGCCCTGCTGTCTGTCCCGGTTGTTCGGCGAGACTAACAGGCAATGCGCCGGAACTTCCCTGTGGTCACCAAATTTGCTTCCAATGTGCGGTGACCATGGAACGATTTGGAGGTCAAAAGTGTCCAGTTGAGGGTTGTCGCCACAATCAAACTGCCTTCCCAGAACGAATTTCAGTCAGTAACTTACCAGTGAAAGCTGTAGCTGCAGTTGACAATTCTTCGTTCACTGTACTACCACCGCCTTATGACGGTAATCTGTTTTCCTTGTCGATTGACTTTTTTAAAAACATTTTCCTAATTTAAACCAAAGCCAATTATTACTCAATATCGAGTCAGCCTGGTAGTATTTTCTTTAAGTCTTGTCCGCATCATAAAGTATTGGTACTCGGTAAACTGATGCAGCTTGAATTAAAATTAATTGTCAAATCAAAATCGAAATAACTTTTTTCAAAACCAACTAACGAATCTTATTTCAAGTTTCAATGCAAACTCATCTCTTCGACATTCGATAATTCGCGAGGAAGTATTCAAACATCTTAAAAGCAGTCTTTTTTTCGTTATTTTACTTCATTTTCTTAAATTATCCCTCTATATTGGTTTCATAACAACTTTATTAAACAACGTCACAGATCAAGTTTAATACTTTTGTTTAACTTCCATAACTTTCAGAAAAACATAGTTTTTTCTCAGTCGAATCATTTGCTCTGTAAAGTTAATAATAGTTAAAGTTATGTTTCTTGTGTTTCAATTCAGATTATATAATCCGTAGCTGTCTGAAAGCAAAATTTATAACCATATAAGTGTTAAAGTTAATGTAAAAGCTACACAATTCCTTGCTGCATAGGGCTGCCTTACTAGCTCTTCAAAGTTGACTGATAAGTCATCTTCTTAAAATTATTCGTCCGGGATAACACGTTGTAGATTTCCCAAACATCCGTCGGGATCAGCAGTGACATAGGGTCAGCGGCAATTACTTCTAAAAGCCAATAAGAAGAAAAAAGTCAACGCTTTCGATCTTTCTGATTCCGCTTGTACACATTCGTGCTTATCAGCTGGATTAGCAAATTGTACTGACTTCTTGCTAATATCGTTATTTTAAACCGTGAATGGGTTTAAAACGTCTTTTATTATAAAATTACGGCCAGTTTATTTCAAAGTAAAGGTTTGAATGGTACCAAGGATACAGGAATGATCAAAAGTCTCCGATTGCCGTTCGCTTACTGTTGATCAAGAAAAACAAAAATAGGGGTATGGCATTGAATCGAATGGCTTATATTCATTCGGAGACAGACAAAGGAGCTTCGTAATGGCTCAAGCCCTCAATCATACACAATAACTATCACAATTTAGTTGAAATATGTGACTTACCGACTACATTGTTTTATTTTACTTACTCTTTGCTGGTACCACTGATGTCGGTCGAAAATCGCCTTGATGAAGACAACAACCTGAAGATAACTTCTTCGAATTCATTTTACGAGGAGTACCGAAATGACATTTATTGAAAATTGAGCCTCATGGCATAAAGCGCCATACTGATCGTAAATGGTACCCCTTTGACCATCTGTGCTCAACCAGGGAAGGTCATGCATGCTCCTTTTCCAAAATTCCCAGTTAAAGATTTCGTTTTTGACTCGTCCAGATATCCTTCAGACTCTCCTGCATAAGTTACTGCACTTTCAGCAGCAAAATTTTGCCGATGTTGAAGCATGTTTTGTAAGTCGCACGAGGTTTTATCTTCAGCAAAAAGCAAGAGTTAACCAGGACCTGTATTCAGAAGTGGCTTCCTTATGAGCGCAGAACTTTTACATAGCTGACTATCTCGACTCAATGAGATCTCGGATAAAAGCTGAATCCCGACTTGATAACTTCATTGAAATTGGACGATTTTAATTAGGTTCAAAATCGTGATCCTGAGGTAGAAGGAACACTAAAACCTGCAGCAGACGCAGCTGGCGAGCAAAAAGAAATATCACATAGTCACGCTATGTTATGCCACGTATTAAGCTTGAAATGGGCCTTTTAAAAGACTTATTGGTTGTGAGTCGCAGTGTTAATCGTAAGCTCAAGTATGCTGTTACGCAACGTTCATTTTGTCAACAAAATTTGGTGTTTAAATCTCTAGTAGCCGGTGAACAAATTTCCTGGAGAACTTAAGACAAGATAAATTCGTAGGTAGTACCCTTGCTCCTGAAAAAATGTTGATCGTTTGGAGCGCATTTAGTTCTTTCCACCGTTTACAATGCAATTTCTCGTACTGGCTGAAGGTAAAACCCATTTACGAACAGTTTCGTAACGATGCGGCATCAGCGGATCCATATAAACATGAAACTTTGAAAACTTGTTTTAGCTTTTGCATATGGGATCAAAACCAAAATAATTTAAATTGTTGGCATCAATCAGGAAAGTCAGGTCAATTAGATGGACTGCTGCGAGCCACCTTTCGTGGGTCCAAATAACCTTCTTCGTTCTATCGGTCAATTAAGCCGCTTGTTTAGAATTTGACGCTAAACTTCTTGTAATTGTGGATGTAGACATCCACCAATAGTGAGGTTTATATGTCTGTTCCACCGCAAGTATAATGATCAGAGCAAAAATCATATACTTTCCGTGATTCGCTTGCTTTTCACTGTCTCCAAAATTAATTCACTGCTTTGGATCATCGAAACATTTTTTACATTATACGAAAATCTCTCACCATGATCTTTCGTTAGAGACTCGGATCTCTCGGTTGAGCGTTTGAGGCTTAAGCAACCGCCTTGTAATAATTGAGGTGTGAATAACTTGGGTCCATATCGTGGTACAATTTTACGCAGCTCGAAAAAATACGGATTGTTTTTTTAACCAACTGCGCCGTTCATGTCTAAATTGTTCTTTCCCTAGATACCAGCTCTTGCATGATGGAATAGAGCAATTTATCGCGCGCCGCGGTACATCGTCTTTCTTCTAAAACTATGACGAGGCCAGTCTTAATGGCGTTCGCTTGGTGTTTGCCAATCATGTTAATAACACCTGTCTCCAAAAGGTTGATGTAAATCGCTTGTGATTGTGATACAACTCCAGAAAAAGATACAGAAGTGTTTTGAAGGACTGTGAACTGCATCTGCTGTCTTATGATTTAGCTAGAACGGACAACTAGTGAGTTTCACTTTGTGGAAGCGAGTTTCAGATGGATGAAAAACGTTGAAATAAGCAAGTAGGAAAACAAAAAAAAAAGGATCTCAAAACACAACACGATACATTCAGAAAACTATTTGGCCAGGCATCTGATCCCCTTCAAATTTTTGATTAAACAAAAAAACAGCAACTTAAAATGGCTGGCTCAAACCTATTCAGGTTATTTGAATAGCAATTGCTCAATCATCAGTGTGAACAAATATTTTTACATGAATGAAAAACCACAAAGTGCAACCATAAACACTTTCCCGGCTATTAATTCCCAGATTTTTAATACCAGCGTTGAGTGTTTTTCGTCGAAAGTTCATGAGGTTTTAAATTTATTCTACTAACGGAGAGTTACGAAGCTTTTGATTAACGAAGCCAATCATATACGCCTTTGAAAGCACAAATCCGATGATATACGTTACTAACAAACATTCAAAGTAACGATGATTTGGAAGGAACGAAGTAAAAAAACTTTAAGTGTAAAAAAAGCAGATGTGATGGTTGTTTTAAAACATGCATAAAAGAGTCCGACTTCGGTGCTAGAACCGGAGCAACTTCCAATACATTGCAAAAAGAAAAAGAAAAGACAATTACCTCGTTATCCTTTACAAATGTGAGTAGCAACAAGGTCATCAAGGTCAAAAGAACATTGAAACAAGAAGTGGCCTTTGTTTTCATCAGCGCAATTGTTGTGATATACTTATTAAACAGTTTCAGAGAAGTAACAATGACTTCTCGAATTGATAACACAAAAAGAACTCCATCACTGAGATATCTCGAGGAAACACCCATTGCAAAACAAGATCACAAACGGAAATGCGCAGAGTTGAGTGAGACCAGTAGAAGAGAATCAGGGATAGTAGCACGTGATGAACAAAATTGAAGCACAGACCAAGTAGAGCGTAGATCAAGCTATTCAAAACCCATGTACATAATTAGCAGCAGTTTAAATAGAGTGTTGCAAGAAACAATCCGAACTATTGTTGACGAAATTGCCATCACATCGAAGACTGAAATTCTTACACAAATTGAGGACGAGCTTGAAAAGTTAAGAGCCGAAATATGCTGAAAACAAATTCAGAATTGGAATTCTTGGAAAACTACAATCTCCGACTCAACATTCGTATCGTGGGTTTGCCGGAACAAATTGTGACAGACAATACTGGGAAACGTGTATTTGAAAAAAATTGACATATCGATTGAAAAAACGACTGCTTTATATAAAAAAAAAATAGGCGCCAACGTGGGAAAGTCTGCCATTAATTTTGCCCATCGTCTTCCGGTCAGCAATTAAAATCAAATCCGGCGCCCATTGTAAGTTTTACAAGAAAAGTGAAAAAAAAACGAAAATCATTTAAGAAAGAAACATCTGCGCACTGATGAGCGCCTCAGTAGAATTCAAATTTTTGAAGATATAAACAGTGTACGGGTACAATTCATTCCAATGGTGAAGAAAGATCAACCTATCCGAGAAGAGGGGACAAGAGAAGGAACTACTTTTTTTGAGTGGAAAGAAGATGGTTATGCTCAAAAGACTACTGGTCTATACGATGGAGGAGCAGCTCTTAACTATTCAATGGATAATGTGAAATGCTGTTTAGTGACAGGCACGGTGTTTTTTAACAAAAAAAGGCCTGAAGTGACCTAAAAATTAAAGTAGCGCCTAAAACTTTTAGTAAACTTGATAATGCCGATTTTTTTGATAATCTTTTGTGTAATGTTAGATCACTAAAAAGCCTAATGATGAAGTAGAAGCACTGACTAACTGTCTCGAGTCTCCTATGTTAGTTTGTACTACTGAAACCTGGTTAAGTGATACTGATGATAAAGTATGTTCGTGGTAAAATAAACAATGATTCTTATGGTAACAACAGGCTTTGAAGGGGTAGCGGTAGAATGGTTCATTTGTTAAACACTTGGTTGCCAATCTACCGCGAACAACGTCAATTATTGTAGAGCGTCATAAAATTCAACTCATTGTAGTAGTGATAGATCTCAAGCCCCGTGATACTAAATTGGAGTTTGTAGATTTTTTTACTAAAGAATTATAATTGTTATCAATTTTTTTCACCAATGATGTTCACCATCTAGATAACGCGCCCCGAAATTTTTGCTGAAAAACTAGAAAAAAACCCCAAGATTCTTTTTTTCCTACCATTCTCTTACCAATACACAAAAAAATTGAGTGAAATGACTAAATTCTTCAAACGTTTTCCTGTTTTTCTGTTTCGTTGGTCTTTATTCACCTAATCACAGGTATGAGTTGTAATGTTTAAGAACACCAAATTGTAGAAATTGTGTTTCAGCCTCTACATCAAGACAACAGCTACCAGAGGAAACCGAAAGCCGAATCAAAGAAAACGTAAACTTCTACTCTGGAGAATCGGATGACATCAAAAATAACGAACTGAAAAAACTTCTTGTAGTGGGGAAAACAGGATCGGGCAAAAGTAGTTTGTGTAACGTACTGTCCGGCAACAATTACGACGCGGATTTATTTGAAGTTTCAGCTGAAAGTAAATCTTGTACCCAGAAAACAAACTTCAGGAACGTGTTTTTCAACGCAGACAGAACGAAACCTATCAGCGTCATAGATACGATTGGATTTGATGATCCGAATAATGATACTGATGCTAAAATCATTTCTGATCTCGTTGTCAAGCTCAAAAATTACTGCGATTATGTGAATTTATTTCTCATCGCTGTTAATGGGCAAGATCCAAGACTTGATAGTTCTTTGATTGGAATGCTTAAGGTAAAAAGTTTAACTGTTTATAGCAGTGTAGACTTTTGACGGTTTTTGTAACATGTTCCTACTGTGGGCGTATTTTTAGAAAAATCAACGTCCAATTCTGGAAATATTAATACTGCTCAAGTTCTTAGGTCGGAAACAATCTCCATTCATTTTACGAGTTTGGTTTCTAAAAACAACAATTTCACTTTAATTTCACTTTTTTATATCATACAAAAAATTCACTTTTTTTCGTAAAAAAAACTGTTAAAATAATTTGTTTTATAATTCTGCAAACTGTATTTAACAATTTTTTTTTCAAAGATATTCGAGCAAATGTTTGGACTGAATTTCTGGGGACAAGCGGTCATTGTTTTTACTATGCTGCCCATGGATAATTACAACATCGGAAACAGGAGGCGAATAAAAAAACAGTCTGACGCTCAACTAGCTCTAAAATATATACAAGAGTTGGGAAATCATTTTCCAAAGGCAAAAGGACTGAAATATCTTACTTTGGACGCTTGCCGCAATCAAGAAAGCTCAGAGGATGTTCAAGCATTTGACAAGGGAGTGCGCGATGTTTGGCAACTGCTGGAGAAAGCACCAAGGCTTCCTACTGAAAACGTTAAAAAGGTAGAAACCGAACATCGTAAACTGAAACGCGAGATCGAGCAGAAAGAAAAGCAAATGGAAGAAATGAAGAAACAGCAACAACTAGAACACGAAAGAATGTAAGCATAGTTATTGTCCTGCACGCTGATTTTTTAGAAGGAGGGGCCAATATTTGAACTTAGCTTTGAATTGACTTTCGATGTATCAAAAAATGAAATTGATTTGCCAATTGCCAAATACATACATTATTTTGCCTGTTCTTTAAAAACGTTTTCATACTTTGGCAACTAGATGATATAGAAGTTATTTTAATAATTTGCAGCTAAACTATAAAATTTTAACATGACACTGAAACAATTTTACTCGAGTTGAACAGGTACAATTTTTCTTAATCTTCTTTAGTTCATAAAGTTGATGACTGAACATTTTTTTAAAAATCGTCTAAAACCACAATGTTTTTCTTGTCAGTAAAACGGGGTTTGACTTTCAACGAAGCTGACAAGCAATGGTTTTTTTTGTATCCCAAGTTCAAATTGTGGAATATCGAAAAACGAAAAGAGCCAAAACTTTTTCTATAAAGGGTGTTAAACTGTTCAATTTGCATTATTTTTTTAATGCACGTAGTTATATTTGAGTTCTGAGTAAATTGATATTGCCGTAAAATATCGATACTATACTATTTTATCAGGGGAAAAAATTGCTTGCAAACACATTGTAGTTTTCTGCGCTGAAACTGAAATTTGGATTATTTGCCATCTGTTAATTCTTTGTTCGTGTTTAAGGAAAGAAGAAATCAAAAAGATGCAAAACCAGTTCAACAAAGAAGTTGAGACAATAAAAGCAAAGCAAGATCAAGACCGAAAACAAATGGAAACGAAACATGCAAAAGAACTAAAAAAGTTAGCAGCGGAAGCAGACAAAATTCGTTTAAATCTTGAGCAGAAACTATCTAAACTGGAAAATGACATGGCAAGGGAACTCGCCAAGAAGGAAGCAGAGCGCGAGAGCTTCCAAAAACAGTTTGATGAGCAGAACAAGAAAACGGAAAAATTACTTTCCGAGAAACTGGATAAAATCAACTTGCAGCAAGTTCAGCTACAACTTAAATTGGAGAAGGAACAAGACAGCACAGAGTTATTGAGAAAAATGGAAGTTCTCAAAAAACAGCAAAAAGATTTGGAGGAAAAACATTCGAGTCAAATAGCAGAACAACAAGATAAAATGAACCAAAAAGAGAAAGAGATCGAAAAACAGAAACTGGAATTGAAACTGAAATATGAGAAGGAGCAGCAAGAAGAACGGGAAAAATGGGAGTCCAAAATTTCAGAAGCAGAGAAAAAATTGCAACAACAGCAAGCTCAGGCATCAGAAAATAAAATCGAGCAGCAAAAACTAGATGATGAAAAACTAGATGACGTCAAAACAGGTGGGAACGTGTTTTTATTAATCATTTTGCTTTCTTCATCTAAAAATCATATTTCAATACGAGGCCAAACTGCTCTGCGTTTTGTGGATTGTAAGCGGATTCGGCAACAAGGACGCCCCCTTGGTTTTTTTCAAATTCGTTGGTCGTTCCAACAAAAATTTAACATGTTTAAAGACTTGTCTCTGGAATGCAGGAACGTACAGACACAAATTTTTGCTCCTACCCAGAGCACAGTTTGCTCCTATCCAAACAAAAGGTTACTTTTCAAGGTTCACAAAAATTTTCGGACTGATGCGAGTATGTCGAGTCTTCAAACTTGACTTCGTCAAGTTATTGTGTTCCACATCTGTACTTAGCATTTTTCATCTACACTTGTGCTGAAAAAATATTTACCTCGTCTTTAAATTTTTGAAACATATTCTGGTAAAATTTTTCTTGTGCAGTTGAAATCTATAGAAAGTAGTGCTTTTCAAAATGTTTTTTTTTGCAATTTGTTGTAATCCTCGAACTATTATTCCCTTTGAAGAAATCACAGTCAACGTATTTTTTCTCTCTATTTAAATCAAAAGGAAATTTTTAGCTTTTTTCTTTTGTGATAACTGCGTGATATAGTCTGCACATATATCAGCTTTTTTCGCCGGCTACCTTCAAACTTTGCAAAACTTGAGGTATGCTTGTAAGCTAAGTATAGCAACGTGACGATTTGTTGACACCACGATTGACTCTTACAGATCATTAATCAACTGATCCCATTAATCAACTATAGATTGGACAAATTTTCATTATGGAGAAAACTAAGAACAAGATGAACCGAAAACAAAAAAAATGAACATTACTGATTTCAACCTTCGATCTCTAAGCTTGCCAATTATCGCATTGTCTGTCATTAACTGGTATACCAATCCCGACATTTTTTAACAGTAACTTCAGAGCTGAAAGTCTCGGAGAAGTCCTTCATTTCTCCATCTGATAAACTGTAAAGGTTTTTTGAGCATGCCTTGCATCATTTGGGGCTAAAAAACGGATGCATATTCGGCTAAGAGTCACTTGAGACACGCCTTCCAACGGGAGGTTTTAATCCGCTTGATTATTTCGATAACGCGATACTTAATATCAATCAACGGGTCCAGCAGTTTTGTTGAAAACGATTGGATTTGTTCAATTATTTTTCATTTTTGGTAAATTTTCATCAAACTGTTCTCAGTTTGTCTATGATGTGAAAACCAATATCAATTATGTTCACTTGGGTCCTGTTTCTTTTGAAATTGGCATTTAAAACTTTCAATGTTACTTCTTACTAAATTGATTCTCCTTCTATTTCGTGAACACCAAAAAAAACTGCTATAATTTGAGATTACTGAGACTTGTGGAACTGTTGTTGAAATGGCAATGCCTTCGCTTAACTCAATCATGTAGACCCGCGTCATCATCCAGGTGTAACGTGATATCCGCCGTCATGTCCCAGATTAAGCCGGCGTTAAAATGGGGACACCAAGAAGGATTCATGAGTTCCCACATGGTTATTAGGCTGATTTTCAAGGGACCGTCCAAAGAACCACAATTAAAACTCATTTGCCCCTTCAGCTCGGGATCCGAGGGTTCGACCACTCGTTCTTCCAAAATAATTCCCAGCTTGGGTTGTTCCACCATCAGCATTCCTTTTTCCTTAATCCGTTCGAACCAGAAATTGAGCACTATGACTTGCTCATAGTCGAAGTACGCTTCTCTGGCTTCTTCATTCACGAAGGGATTATATGCCATCCCCTGTACGCCAGACACATATCGGAACGACTTCAATTTCCCTAATGTTGCAAAGTCTTTCTGTCCCCTGACGGTTTCAATCAACTCCCGGCTCACTTTCAATACTTTGTTGGAATACCTTCTCACTTCTTCCAACTTGCGATAGCTCTCCATGTCGTTCGACTCCCTATTTGGTACAACCAGCGGCATATCCTGATATAGTTCCAGGAGTGCCCTGAGGAAGTTTCTTTCGCAATCAACTCCCTTTTGCCGAATGATCTTTATGCATTCTCCCAAAACAGGAGTGGGAATACGATCCACCACGAACCTTACAAAGCAAAGGGCATCCTTACGCTTAGCCCAGGCTATCGCAGAATCATCTTTTGAAATCAACGCTCGCAGGGCTTCCATCAACTCCAGCTCTTGTTCCTTTGATTTCAAACCCTTACTGGCTTCATATTCCGCCTTCTTGATGCCCATCAAGCACAAAGCCAACCGCACTTGCAGGTCAGTTCTCATGCACGGGTCAGCCAGGTACGCTGCCACCGTCGCAGGTGCATGCATCGTCTCGTCGAAGTATCTTTGGAGGGCCGCCCTCCAAGAGATTTCCAGTAGCTTTTCCAGCCCGATTTCGTTCGCCTCCGAGGACATTATCGTGCCGTATTCTTTCCGATTTAGGTTAGATTTCTCCGTAAGCCCTTTCAGATACTCCTGCATGGCTCGCTTCTCGCTCCAAGCCATCAGGTGTCCTCTCGCGGAGTTCCTCGCCTTCATCACTACTTTCACTTCTCCTGACCACCTCAGTCTCGGTTCATTGTGGTCATCGGCTGTTTCGTGGCTGTTGTGGTCAGACCTGCCAAGAGCATAGGGGGGATCAGGTTCTCTTTTTCTCCCCCGGTCAGCGTCGCACCATCTCCTTGCCCGCTCTCGCTTGAACGACCTGCGCTCGTCAAAGAGGCCACCACTGCACTGGCTTTCGATTTCACCACCCTCTGATTCACGGCTCGACTTCCTGTCTTCCCTTTCAGTCGCTTCGGCCCTTTTCTGGCTCGTCTGACGGGTAATTTCTTCGTGACCGGCTGGTCATCGGCACTGTCCTCTGTAACTGACTCGGTCAGAACATCAGACTCTATGGAGTTCATTATTTTCTCCAGGCCCTCACGCATAATGGGTTGGTTCAATCCCACCTTCATTATGGACTGCGTCCCATATCGTCGTTCCATGAAGTTCACTCGGTTCCAGGTTGCCCCTGTCCTGCTTTCTAGTTCACTTTGGTATGTCTCCCATTCCTCTTCCGGTAGCGTACTCAGGAAGGATACCCTCATTGACTCTTCAATCTTTCTCCTCCTTGGTGACTCATGGAGCAATCTTTGTGGATCCCTATTTCGGCACTCTCTCGCCTGACTTATTGGGTCCATCGGGGATAAGTCGGCCGACGCCTCTTTTGTAGGAGACATGAAAGACGATGGCGTCATCAGAAACAGACTCCCATCGACTTACCCGTCGTCGTCTTCACTAAACCGGTACTCCAGCAAGTCTCTCTCTAACGCTCCTAGATCCGTCTCACCCGGCTTTTCTGTCTTTCCCCCGATGTCGTCACCGTCCTGATCCATCAACTCATCGTCATCCGCATCAGTATTGGCTTAGGTCCTGATGGGCCTTGTCGTTTGTCTATGCCCGAGTCAGGCCGCGCCGGTACGGTCAGGTCTCCTGCGTGATAGAACAATTCATCATTCACAGGGAATTCTACGGACTCCTCGCCATGTGGTGCCAGGTCGTTATCGTTATGTATGAGCCTCCTCTGCACTCCTTTGCCACTTCCAGCATCACTACTTTCACTTCTCCTGACCACCTCAGTCTTGATCAGTCATCTGTGGGAGCATACACCTCGTTCCACACCTCAGCCGAGACCTCTGGCCTCCTGGAAGGTGGTGCCTTGATCTTTTTCCTGCTCCAAGTATCAGGAATGTGAAGTCAAATGTGTGCGCGGCTGTAACGTTCCAACTGATGAAGCGCGGCTCTATCCCTTCACTCCATTTCAGCATTTTCCTCTCTGCATCACGAGCTGCTCCGATGCGAGGGGCAATGACGGGAGATGTGACTCCCAACAACATCCTCCTAATCGGTGGGTATCGAGGGCATTGGTCCGGCAGCGGCCTGGATCCGGAAAGCCACGCTTGCTGGTTCTCTTTCACGTGTGCATAGGCCTCTGGCAAAAGTGGAACTCTCATTGCCGCTCCTGGATCTTTCACTACTGGTCTCAGATTCCAAAGCTTTGGGTTAAACTGGATGTGGGAAAAGTCTTCGCGGCCCATTCGGCACTTGAAGTTGTTGTTGAAATCCATCAACACCCAACCCGGCTCCGGTGTTCTTCCCAACAGCCTATCATCGCTGTCCAGCCCTCTCAGCTCCCTCTGCTCAACCCAATTCAGCACGGAACAATCTACGACTGAGACCAGGTTGACATACAACACAGAATTCCTGTATACCTTAACTTGCACGTCCGGGAACACGAAAGACATCACCGGTCCATACAGCACCGTGACGAGTTCCCGCAGTCCGTGAATCAGAGCCAACGGATCGATCCGCATCATGACAGCCAGATCTGTCAGCAAGGGCATGCCACAATACTGCTTACACTCACCCGCAACCGTCGCCACCTTATCTTCTCCCGTGACACTTCTGTTCTTTTGCAAGAGATATTGGAGCAGGAGAGTCCTCCAGTCTTTAAATTTCCTGAGCGAGGCGGTTTCCAACTGCGCGTTGAACTCACGACTCGTCCCCTGGACTTGTTCGGGGTAACGCAGCAGCACAAGCAAATCACCCAGCCGACCACAGGTCATGGCAATCAGAGTCAGGAGTCCATCAAATCTCAAATCTGCCAACGCTTGGGTAAAGAGATTTACTGTCCCCTTCACGAAATTCTCATGAACAAATGTCACGTACTGGGCTTAAGTCAGGCCAATCGACAGCTTCCTGATATCCTTGACGAAGCTCGCGATCAGGTTCCGCGATGCCATCGGATATCACATCGACAGGAAGGATGGCGTCCATCCCACTCCCATTCCACCCAAGATGGCATCTGATCGTTTATATTGTGCCCTCGTGGCCAGTACGTCAGCTTGCAACTTGTCCAACGACATCGTGTTCACATCCTGCATCACTTTCAACATCATACCCCCGGTTAACTCCCGGGCATCAAACAAGTTCTTCAGATACGCGTGTATCTCCTTTATCACTGCCGGTCCATGCTCGAAAGC